AAGGGAGAAAGAGAGAAAGAGGGAAAGAAAGAGGAGAGAGAGAAAGAGAAAGAGAGAGAGAGGAGAGAGAAAGAGAGAAAGAGAGAGGGGAGAGAGAAAGAGAAAAGAGAGAGAGGAGAGAAGAGAGAGAGAGAGGAGAAAGAGAGAAAGAGAGAGAGGAGAGAGAGAAAGAGAAAGAGAGACAGAGACAGAGAAAGAGAGAGAGAGAGAAAGAAAGAGAAAGAGAAAGAAAGAGGGGGGGAAAGAGAAGAGAGAGAGAGAGGAGAAAGAGAGAGAGAGAGGAGAGAAAGAGAGAGAGAGAGAGAGAGAGAGAGACCAAAAATTATTTAATTTTCACACTATTATGTTGACTCGGTCAAAAAGGAACCACCGATAGTCCTTGAGTTATCATTGTTCGTTTAGTGACTGTTTGAAGTTACAACGGCACTGAAAAAAGGGACTCCTTGCATGTCCCTGTCCAAAATCTCGAATTTAAATTCTACCTCGCAGGACTGTTGGTCTCTAGGCAGAATTCAAACAACAAGGAACCTATCAATCTACCTAGATCCGACCAGCACCCTTTTTCACGCTTTAACGACCGCGGCAGCCTCCCCAGGATCACGTGATCAGAATTCAGACGCTCGGCAACTGACTCCTATTTACGACGGTCGCAGCGATCCCCTTTGGCGACCTTCTGACAAGCAAAGCCTACGAGGGGGGGGAGAAGCTGGGGACCCCCTGTGCTTTCTTTCAGTGTCGTTCGTAACTCGAAACAAATGGTCGTAAAACGAGGAGCGGCTCTAATCTTGTTCGAAGGAAGCTTGGTATTCGCATCATTGGCGTTTGGGGACCTCCAGCCCTCCTTCCATCTCTCCAGCTGGGTATTTTTCCCTTCCCTTCTTCCCTCCCTGCTAACCTTCACCCACGGGCCAGCTGGCACTTTCTCTCCTGCTTGCTCAGGGGTTCAAAGTACGACCTGTCTCCTCCCTTATCAAGGAAAATTAGTCTGGATCTTTCCCCCCACCCCACCCCCTGCGCGTCGGAGATCCCCAAATCCGTGGGGAAATTAATCAAGAGGGTTTCCAGGCGTCGGGAAGAGCGGGAACTTCACGCCGCAAATAAAAGCAGGTAAAGGAAGCCAAGATAGGCACGAGAGGGAGGATCACCGGGTGGCCCACGACACTTCACGGGTGGCAGGAGAAAGCAAGCCAGATCCTGGCTGGATTTCACAAAACGGAGATCCAAATTTCCTGCATTTAATTGGGGGGAGGGGAGGGTGTTAAAGGATCAGCGCTGAGTTCCCACGTTAGGCTTGATTTTTTTTATTTTATTTTTTTAATCGGTGGTCTTCCCGCTTGGCAATTATTTAGTCCTTTTAAGCAACCAATTCACCTTTTGAAAAAAACAAGCCAGAACTATCTTTCTGGTCAAAAACAAACTTTGGTAGATTTCATGGACACAAGTGAGTCCAACATGTCTGTTTGCTAAGCCACCGTCGTTCTGTTTGTGGTCTTTTTCGTGTCTGATCTACAGAACTTACGACAGTCCTGTTAGTGACCGTTCCAAGTTACGCCGGTGCTGAAAAAAGGGACTTAGGACCGTTTTTCGTACCGGCGACCGTTGCAGTGTCCCCTGTGCTCAGCTGATCGAAATGAAAACACTTAACGACTGACTCATATTTACGACAGGCGTACTACCCCGGGGTCACACCATCCCCTTTTGCGACCGTCTGACAAAGCCACTTAACAACTCGGTTACTAACTTCACAACTGCAGTGATCCACTTAACCACTGCGGCAAGGAAAGTTGTAAAGCGGGACAAAACTCGTTTAACAACCGTCTCGCTTAGCGACACAAATTTTGGGACCGTACGTTGAGGGCGACCTGCGTAACGTGTTAATCGTTGTAAATATGGCAGAGGATGGCTTTTGTCCTACGCAACAGGGTTGAAACCACAGCTGCCAGTTCTTCAGCTGGGGTTGACCTTCATTTGTGTTGCTTCGTTTCCAGGAACATTCGGTGTCACAATTTATTGGCGTAGTTGTGGTTGCGTGGCTCGGAACAACTCGGCTTTTGATAATCGACTGATGAAAAAACAGGATAAAGCGAGCGTGATAGTCATTACGGCGGGTTGACCGGTCAGCCAGATGTTTGTGTGTTTGTTTGTTTTAAAAATGGCATTTTTATCCACCCACTGAGTCCTTCTTGAGGACCTGGGCCAGACAGATGTTGAAAGGTTGTAAAGGTTTTGTGGCAAGATTGTCAGCTCTTCCAAGTAAAGCTGCCTTTTGCAATTGACCGACGGGGATTTTGTCAATGTCGATGGTGTTCTCTTATTATTATTGTGGTGGGTGCACATTGTGCACATTTCAGCCAGATGTTTCGAGTCCTTCCCAAGGACCTGCGATAGGCTGATGGGGATGCTTGATGGTGTGGAAGTGATTGTGGCAGGATTGTGCAGGGGAAAGCAGCTTTTTTGCAATGGAGGGGATTTTGTGGATGTGGTGATTATTATCCCCATTATTACTATTATCGTCATCGTCATCATCTTTGGGTCAAAGAGACTTTTTTTTCTCTCCTTCCTTTCTAGGAGAACCATGTTGGTCTGTGATAGTACTGTAAAAAAAATATCAGGATTTTGGTAGCATCTTTTCCAGCTATATATATATATATTTTTTTAAAGCATCAGCTGCAGCTTTGGCTGATGGATGCATTGTACTCTGTACATTTCGTGCTGTAAGTTGCAATTCCCCAAAGTAGTTTCCTCTGGTTAGTTAGAAAAAGTGCCATTAAAATATTTCTGGTATTTTTTGCTTTGTTTCTGTCTTTCTTTTTCTTTCTCTCTCTCTCTCTTTCTGTTTCTTTCTGTCTCTCTTTCCTTCCTTCCTTCCTTTCTTTCTTTTTCTTTCTTTCTTTCTTTCTTTCTTTCTTTCTTTCTTTCTTTCTTTCTTTCTTTCTTTCTTTCTTTCTGTCTCTGTCTCTTTCTTTCTCTCCCTCTTTCTGTCTCTTTCTTTCTTTCTGTCTGTTTCTGTTTCTCTCTCTTTTTCTTTCTGTCTCTTTGTTTTGCTTTCTCACACTTTCTCTCTCTCTCGTTTCTCTGTGTTATATAATATATGTGGGTATATGCATAATTCTGTATTTATTTATTGTCCTATTTATGTAGTGTGTATTGGAGGTGGTGACCCTTTGACAGCTGTATGCAACGAAATTTCCTTTTTACCTATGCCGATTAGTGTACGTTCAAAGTGACAATAAAGTTATTATTCTATTCTATTCTATTCTATTCTATTCTATTCTATTCTATTCTATTCTATTCTATTCTATTCTATTTTATTCTATTAATTTTACTCTAATCTGCTCTATTCTATTCCTGTCTTTCTGTTTCTTTCTTTCTCACTCTTTCTCTCTCCTGTTTCTTTTTCTCTCACTCTTTCTCTCTCATCTCTTTCCTTTCTCTGTCTCTTTCTCCTGCTCTGTCTCTTTCTCTCCTTTGCTCTCTCTCTCTCTCCCCCAGCCTTTGTTTTGTGTTTTTCTTCCCGACCAGCTTGCATAACTCTTGTCCTTTTACACACCCACGAATGAGCAATCAAAAGGAGGAGTTGAACCATTTACCCAGGTGCTAAGAGCCTTAAGCACAACACTGCACGCTCGGCTTGGCAAAAAAGAAGGCTGGGGAGTCCGTAGTTCGGTACTTTTCTTTCAGCTTTATTTTTAGTTAAACCTTTTTCTGCCAGCAAGCAGGTCCTGCCTTGGAGCTGAAAGGTGGCTTGTGGGGGGAACCTAACATGGACCTAACATGGAAAGGGAGGCAGGAAGTAGGTTTGGCTAAGCAAGGATTAACTCAGGGTGTGTGTCCAATCTTGGTAAAGCTGCTGCTGCTGCTGGTGGGACTGGATTTTTCCATGTTTGGACTGGATCAGCTCTTATTTGATGAGCCATCCAGAGTCACTTAGCTGAGATGGGTGACCATATAAATCAAATTAATATTAAATATGGAATGGAATGGAATGGAATAGAATAGAATAATAATAGGAATAGAATAGAATAGAATAGAATAGAATAGAATAGAATAGAATAATAGAATAGAATAGAATAGAATAGAATAGAATAGAATAGGAATAGGAATAGAATAATAGAATGGAATGGAATTGAATGGAATAGAATAGGAATAGGAATAGGAATAGAATAGAAAATGCAGAAGGGAAGAATAGAATAGAATAGAATAGAATAGAATAGAATAGAATAGAATAGAATAGAATAGAATAGAATAGAATAGAATAGAATAGAGAATGGAGAATGGAAGGGAAGGGAAGGGAAGGGAAGGGAAGAATAGAATAGAATGGAATGGAATGGAATGGAATAGGAATAGAATAGAATAGAATAGAACAGGAATAGAATAATAATAGAATGGAATGGAATAGAATAGAATAGGAATAGAATAATAATAGAATGGAATGGAATGGAATGGAATAGAATATGCAGAATGCAGAAGGGAAGAATAGAATAGAATAGAATAGAATAGAATAGAATAGAATAGAGTAATATGTAGTATAGTATGATAATATAATAAATATAATGTAATAATATAGTATAATGTAGTGTAATGTAATATAATGTAATGTAAAATATCATAATAACCTTCAAAAGGCAGGATGGCCCAATGATAAAGACCCCAACTCCAGATTGGGGGAGACTTAGGTTCAAGATCCGCTTTAGCCAGAGAAGCTCCCTAAGCAGGCTGTGAGTCAGTTTTTTTTTCTCTCAGCCAGCCTACCTTGCAGGCTTGTCGTTGGGGGGGGGAAATTACAGGAGCCCTGGGCGTTTCCTTCCTCAGCCAGCCAGTGAATCCCTTTTAGCCAACACCAAAAGGAGGCAGGTGAGTCTGTGACTTTTCCCCCTAGGGAGCCGGCGCCTGGCAACATGCAGAGTTCCTCGGACGGTGAAGGCAGAAGCCTGTGGGGTGAGCCAGACCTGGAAGCCGAGGAGAAGACCTGTGCCGTCTGCGGGGACCGAGCCAGCGGCTACCACTTCCACGTCATGACCTGCGAGGGCTGCAAAGGGTTTTTCCGGTAGGCCTGGGTGGATGCAGGCGCGCACACAGGTTTCTAGTCCTCATGACTCCCACTCAAGCTTCTTCCCCTTGCCTTGCAGGAGGACGGTGCTGAAGGGCATCCAGTTCACTTGCCCTTTTACTCAGAGCTGCCCGGTCACCAAAGCCAAGCGGCGACAGTGCCAGGCCTGCCGGTACAAGAAATGCCTGGCGGTGGGGATGAGGAAGGACAGTAAGTGCCTGGGAGACAGGATCTTCTGGTTTCTTTCTTTCTTTCTTTCTTTCTTTCTTTCTTTCTTTCCTTCCTTTCTCTTTCTTTCTTTTCTCTTTCTTTCCTTTCTCTACCTTCCTCCCTCCCTATCTGTACTCCTTCTTTCCTCCCTCTTTCTCTTTTTCTCTTCTTTTCCTTTCCCCATCCTTTTCTTTTCCTTTTTTTCTTTTTCTTTCTCTGCTTACCTCCCTCCCTATCTGTACTCCGTCTTTTCTCCCTTTCTTTTTCTCTTTATCTCTTCCTTTCCTTTCCCTCTCCTTTTTCTTCCTTCCTTCCTTTTTTCCTTTCCTTCCTTTCTTTTCTTTTTTCTTTCTCCCTCCATCCCTTCCTATCTGTACTCCGTCTTCTTTCTCCCTCTCTCCTTCTCTTTCTTTCATCTCTTCCTGTCCTTCATCTTTTTCTTTCTTTCTTTCTCTTTCCCTCTCCTTTTTCTTCCTTCCTTCCTTTTTTCCTTTCCTTTTTCTTTTTTCTTTCTCCCTCCATCCCTTCCTATCTGTACTCCGTCTTCTTTCTCCCTCTCTCCTTCTCTTTCTTTCATCTCTTCCTGTCCTTCATCTTTTTCTTTCTTTCTTTCTTTCTTTCTTTTCTTTCTTTCTCTTTTCTTCTCCCTCCCTCATCTTTCTCTGTCTCTCTTTCTCTCTTCCTTTCCTGTCTTTTTCTTCCTTCCTTCCTTCCATTGCTTCCCTCTCCTTCCCTCCCCTTCCCCTTCACATCCATTCCTTCTTTACTCCTTCCCCTTCTCCTTCCTTCCTTCCTTCCTTCCTTCCTTCCTTCCTTCCTTCCTTCCTTCCTTCCTCCTTCCCTTCCCTTCCCTTCCCTTCCCTTCCCTTCCTTCCTCTTTTCGCCAAACTAAATTTGTTTTCAGTTTCTTTCAGCGAAGAGCGTTACTTTCTGGCCGGTTTGCTAAACCATGGTTAGCCCAACAGAGCTGAGTACTACGTGTAAACCCGTGATTCAGTTGGTGGGGATGGACTATAGCTTATCCAGGTGTCATGGTTCCGAAAGAAGAAGCTTTTCAAAGAACTTTGAAGGCCTTGTTTACCTTAAAGAATCCTTTTATTGCTTTGGCACGTACATAATGAAGCCAAAAACTGAATTCTCCCTCCCCCCAATCACCCGTAAGCATAACTCACTCCTTCATTTAACAGTCATCAATCACGTTCCCCAATTAGTTTGAAGTGTGAACTTTCCCTCCCGTAACTCCTCTGGTTACAACTGACCTTGGAAATACTGTACTGAAATATTGTTGTGGCTAACTATCCCCCGAGTACCTACTTCCCCCCCTCTCTTCTAACATTGTCTGACTTTTAACTCTAGAAGTGACACACAGATTAAATAAAACACGTTTGCTTCTTCACATATTGTCAAGCAAGAACATCCGATGTTAGCAGCCTTGACACCAGGCACATAGGAAGCAGAGCTAACCGGATGGGCGGGCTTCCTTCAATCCTCCCAAAGCGGATGATGGGAACCGGAGTCAAGTTCCCAGCTCCCACCCCCCCAGCTTGGCCTGCTGTCCTGCTGCTATTCCAGCTTTGCCGATTCTCCCTGGCCAGACGGTTGTGAGAATAAAATCACAAGGGATCCCTCGTAGCAGCTCTTAAACGCCAAGCCAGGATGAATAAATTGCATTTCTCTGCCTTGCCAGTGGTTGGAATTGTAAGGAGACCTGGCAGCCTTTGGGGCCGAAGGGCTGCTTTCTCCAGGGAGAACTTGTGGGAGATCCCCCCACCCTCTGTGGGTGGAAAAAACCCCCACAGCCTCTGCAAAGCTCTGCTGGTTTCCAGAGGGAAAAGGAGGGGGCTTGGCAGCTGCAAGCCGGCTTAGCCAGGAGGGGGAAGCCGCCTCAGACCCCCCCCCAGAGTCAGCGGGGCTGGGAAAGCCAGATAGAGGGGCATGCCCAAGAGGCTTTGCCTCTCCATCGATCGGCTGGATTATTTTTTTATGGAGGAAGGGAAAGGAATTGGAAAGCAAGTGAAAAGAGAAAAGAGAAAAAAGAGAAAAGACGGAGGGAGGGAGGAAGATGGAATGTGGAAGGAAGGAAGGAAGGAAGGAAGGAAGGAAGGAAGGAAGGAAGGAAGGAAAAGACAGGGAAAGGAAGAGAGAGCAAAAGAAAGAGAAAGAAGAGAGAGGGAGGAAAGAAAGAAAGGGAAGAAAGAAAGAAAGAAAGAAAGAAAGAAAGAAAGAAAGAAGAGAAAGAAGATGGAATGTGGAAGAAAGAAAGAAAGAAAGAAAGAAAGAAAGAAAAAGAAAGAAGATGGAATGTGGAAGGAAGGAAGGAGGGATGGAAGGAAAAGACAGAAGGAAAGGAAGAGAGAAGGGAAAGAGAGAGGACAAAGAAAGGAGACGGAGAAAGAAAGGAAGGAAAGAAGGAAGGAAGGAAGAGACAGAAGGAAAAGAAGAGAGAAAGGGAAAGAGAGAGGACAAAGAAAGAAGAGAGAGAGAAAAGAAAGGAAGGAAAGGAAAAAAGGAAAAAGAAAGGAAGGAGGGAAAGAAAAGACAGAGGGGAAGGAAAGAAAGAGAAAAAGAAAGAAAGACAGAGAGACAGAGAAAGAAGAGAGAGAGAGAGAGAGAGAGAAAAGAAAGGAAAAAAAGAAAGGAAGGAAGCTTCACCCCCCCACCCCCACCCCCGGTCAAACAAAGATCATCCTGGGCCCCAAATCCAGCCAGGCGCTCTGGAGCCGCCATTGATCCAATCGAGGTGAAATCAGGATCCAGGGAAATGCTGGATTTCTCCCCCCTCCCCCGCAGGGCATGGATGGGGGGGTGGGGGGAGCACAGAAACCCGGAGCGCAAGATGGCAGCTGCAGCCACTGCAGGCGGGCGAGGCGTGATGCATTGCAGTCTTGCCTTCTGACCCGCAGTCCCCATCCCGGGCAGGTTGCAGCTGCCCTCGCCTGCCGGGGCCAGGGGGGGGGGAGTCCAGGGGGGGGGCTCTGAATAACCGTTTGGGATGGGGTGGGGGGGCCAGAGAGAGAGAGGCTTGAACATCCCCCCCCAACCAAGGCAGAGGCTAGCAGGGCAAAGGAATTTGAGACCGGCCAGCTGCAGGGTTTTTTGGCAAGCTGGAAAAGAGCAAGCAAAGTTGGAAACTAACATGCTAAAAAAAAAAGGAGAGGAAGGAAGGAAGGGAAAGGAAGAAAGATAAAGAGTGACAGAGAGAAAAAAGAGAGAGAGAAAACAAGGAAGGAAGGAAGGAAGGAAGGAAGGAAGGAAGGAAGGAAGGAAGGAAGGGAAAGACAGGGAAAGGAAGAAAGATAGAGAAAGAGTGACAGAGAAAGAAGAGAGAGAGAACAGGAAGGAAGGAAGGAAGGAAGGAAGGAAGGAAG